TATATATATGTGATCATATGCAGTCGCTGATGATATGTGTATATATATGTATATATATAAATACAGTTTTGTGGCTTTTTGTTTAACAAACAAAAAACAAGTAAAAATTTTAATGTCTTCTTATATGTGACTTATATGTCACTTACATGTCACATATATATGACCTACAATGCACATACATATGACGTACATATTACCTACATGTCACTTACATGTGGCGTATAAGAAAGGTTTCATAATCTTATATTTCACCTATAAGTGCCACTATATTGATCAAACAAGGGTCACACAGGAAAGAATGTAAACACGTGTTAACAGATCGCATTGAGAAATGTTTTTAAGTCAGTTTTAAACAGACACTGCGCATGCGTTATATGACTGAGATTCTAAATATAAATTAGGCCCTATGCTTTCCTCAGAAACTCGGAAACTCAAAATGTCGGATGTCGTTTCAGGGCTTCCATATAATAGTGTCCCCGGGCCATTGCAATCTACACATTATTCTGAGCTCAACCATACCACATGCACTTCATTCCCATGACCGTGTTATTCGTGATGCTGCTAACAACCTTAAAAGCTTAGAGAATTAATATATAGATTATTATAACACAACTCAAGTGGACAGTAAACAGCAGTAAAAAGCAGGTAGACATTGAGCCTCTTCTTTAGAAATACCAATGCATTTACAGTGAAGCCATTGTTCACACTTGTCGCAGCGTATCCAGTTGTCCGATTTGTTGTGACCATTGCATCGTGAGTACGTCTTTTTCTTCGGTTGTAGCTATAATTTTACAGTGACCTATAACTTATTCAAAAATTCTTTTTCTGAGCTGCATCACATCTCTGCCTGCCGTCAGTGATCTGTTTTTAGAAATTGCGCAGCATAATGGCACACAAATGCTCCGCAACTAGAAGAGTCCTCCTAGGGTCTGTGTGGTGGGCATGTCAGTGTCCATTCCACCACATCTATCTTTGTTTTCTCTTAGGAAAGCTATCATCATGGAGAATGCCTGATTTGCTCGGGGAGAAGAGCAGGCATTTGTGCTCGCCAGTGGATCCAAGTATAATATCAGTCGCTCCTGCATGGATATGGCCACCGGCAGGGCCGGACTAAGCGTGTGGGGGGCCCGGGGCTCGCAATTGTGTGGGGGCCCTAGAGTCTGTATTTTTTCCGCACTTTCATGCTTGCAAATTCAGAGAGTATTTCATCGTGTTTCAATGAATTTAAAATGTCACTTTCGATAGCGAGAATACTGAGGTTTACCAGTCTCTGTTGGCTCATCGTGGTTCTCATGTGATTTTTAATCAACTTGAGTTTTGAAAATGACCTTTCACCGCTACAATTCGAGACCATCAATAATCAGCTGAATAGCGAAATTCAGTCAGCGAAAGAGCATGGGAAACGCATCACTTCAACGTTACATATTTTAGGATACACTAAATGTGGGGGGCCCGGTGCACGTGCCCCTGTTTCCCCGCCCTTAATCCGCTAGTGGCCACCGGCACCCAGTGGTCACCAGTAGGATTCCATAGGGGCCAGAATCACTGAAGCGGCACTGGTGCCAACTCTACGGTCTGCCCAGAGCATTCCAGTTGGCTGACCCTTCGCTCCCGGACACGGGCGAGTTCTGCTCGCTCTACAACTATGCGGCAACTCCAGCCAGCTCTATACGCTGCACGCGTTCTTTGAGCCGGACTTTGAGCACAAGTCGAAGATGCACAAGCGGCGCGTCAACGCCGTACGTCACTACCTGCTCATCTGCCGGCAGCTGACGTACGAGATCGCCGAGACGTACGGCGAGATGCTCGACATCAAGATGGCGATCGTCGAGGAGCAGCAGACGACGCCGTCGCCGCATGCTGTCAGGAAGATCAACCTGCTGTGCGCCGAGTGCATTCGCAATTTCGAGTTGTTCCTCGACTCGTTTAAGACAGCGAATAAGTTTCACAGCGATAATGTTCGTCCGGTGCTGATAGCTTACTTCTACATGGGCTGCATGCATTTGAAAGTCATTGATTCCAATGTTCGCAAAAGGATCGAGTGCATTCAGAAGAGCATTGACTGCTATCAGTTATTAGTTAGTTATTGTGAAAATTACCCAGACGTGGAGCCCGAGCCACGAGCACAAGATGAGGTGAGTGTATGTCACGGTCCAAATGCATGCTTACTAGGAAAAACCCCAACGCTAAGTTTGTCTGACTTTGCTGATTCCCTAGAAGTTTATAATTACTCAACCTTCACCTTTGTTTTTGCCATGCAATCAACTAACCGACCCTATTAGAGAGGTGTGTTTTTAGCTCACCTTGACATCGTCAAGCTGAGCTATTGCCATGGGTCGTCGTCCGTCGTACGTACGTCCGTAGAAGAGAGAGAGAGGGAGATAGAGAGAGACAGAGTGCGAAGAGCGAGCGGGCGCGACAGAGAGCGAAATAGAGAGAGGGAGAGATATAGATGAGATAGACAGAGAGAGTGAGAGAGAGATAGAGAAGAGAAGAGAGATGAGAGAGAGAGAGAGAGAGCAGAGAGAGAGAGAGAGAGAGAGAGAGAGAGAAAGAGAGATTAATGAGAGAAAGAGAGAGAGAAGAGAGAGAGTGCGAGAAAGAGAGATAGAGATTAGATAGAGTAGCTAGATAGAGAGATTAAGAAGAGTGATAGATCAGAAAAGAAAGAGAAGAGTATCACGAGAGAGCGAGTGACAGAGAGAGAGCGCGAGGCGGCGAGTGCCAGAGGGGGGTGGGAGGGCTCCAGAGAAAATAGCTAGACATGCAGAGAGAGAGAGAAACATGGTGAGGTAGAGAGACAAGGAAGGTGTGAAAGAGTGAGAGAGAGCGCGCGCTAGGAAGAGAGTGAGAGCGAGCTATTAAGAGCGAGCAACAGAGAGAGAGAGAGAGAGAGAGAGATGAGAGAGGAGAGGAGAGAGAGAGAGAGAGAGAGAGAGAGAGAGAGAGAGGAGACGAGAGAGAGAGAGAGAGAGAGAGAGGAGAGCAGGAAAGAGAGAAAGAGACAGCAAGGTAAAGAGAGAGAGAACGAGAGAGGCAGAGAGTGGGAAGAGAGGAAGGAGAGCCAGAGCAGAGAGAGTAAAGAGAGAAAGCCAGAGAGAGAGAGAGAGGAGAGAGAGAGGAGAGAGAGAAAAGAGAGACATGCAGAGAGCGAGAGAGAGGCAGATAAGGAGACATAGAGGGTGGGAGAGAGTGAGGAGAAGGACGAGACAGGGCGAGAGAGAAATGAGAGCGCGCGCGAGAGAGAGGCGCGCGACAGAGAGGGGGAAAGTGAGAGCGAACGACGAGCGAAACGTCAGAGAGGGGGAGATAGATAGAGAGAGAGAGTTGCGGAGAGCACGGCGACAGAGAGAGAGAAAGAGAGAGAGGGGGGGCGGGAGAAGAGGCGAGATGAGAGAGAGAGAGAGAGAGGAGAGAGAGAGAGAGAGAAAGAGAGAGAGAGAGGGAGATAGAGAGAGAACAGAGTGCGAGAGCGAGGCGGGCGACAGAGAAGGCGAAAGAGAGGAGAGGGAGAGATATAGATAGATAGACAGAGAGAAGGAAGAGAGAGAGAGAGAGAGAGAAAGAGTGCGAGAAAGAGAGAGAGAGAGAGAGAGATAGAGGAAAGAGAGAGAGAGAGAGAGAGAGAGAGTGGCGAGTGCGAGATGAGAGATAGATAGATAGAGAGATAGATAGATAGAGAGATAGAGAGTGATAGACCAGTAAAGAAAGAGAGAGATCACGAGAGAGGCGAGATGACAGAGAGAGAGCGCGAGGGCGAGCAGAGTGCCAGAAGGGAGGGGGAGGCTCAGAGAAATAGGCTAGACATCGCAGAGAGAGAGAGAGAGAACATGTGTGAGGTAGAGAGACTAAGGAAGGTTGGAAAGAGTGGAGAGATCGCCGCTGTGGGAGAGAATGAGACGAGCTATTAGGAGCGAAGCAAGAAGAGAGAGAGAGAGAGAGATGAGAGAGAGAGAGAGCAGAGAGAGAGAGAGAGGAGAGAAGAGAGAGAGAGCAGGAGAGAGAAAGAGACCAGGAAAGAGAGAGAGAACGGAGAGAGCGCGGAAGCGAGAGAAGGGAGAGCCAGAGCAAGAGAGAAAGAAAGGAGAGAGGGGGGGGGGGGAAGGAGAAAGCAGAGAGATAGGCAGAGTAAAAGATGAGAGAGACGCGCGCAGAGTCAGGGAGACGAAGAGAGAGGAGGGAGGGAGAAATAAAGATCAGAGAAAAAAATACACAAGCGTGAGACAGAGAGATGAGAGGGATGGGAGTGAAACTAAAAAAGAGGGAGGGATAAAAAAAGAAGAAGAGAGAGACAGAGTGCGAGCGCGAGAGAGAGACGAGTGAGAGAGAGAGAGAGAGAGAGAGAGAGAGAGATGGCAGAGAGGGAGAAGAGCGCACGAGAAGAGAACGGACGCGAATCAAAGTTTGGTTAAAAACTATTCTATTGAAGCTGTAGTCATTGTTGTATCAGACATAAACGTAGCATATCTTAACTCTCCTAAGCCTGCCAGTATGTTCAATCATATATAAAGCGCGCGATATATGAAATGAATAACTTGGACTTTCGTCACGCGTGACAGGCCTCTCTCCCGAAAGATATATCACGGTCAAGTATACACGTGCCAATGCAGTACGCTCGCCCATGTTCTCTCTGTGTTTTTGTCCGTCTGACAATTTCGAAGCAGCATAATTCAGCTGTCGCGTTAGCTGTTATAATTCATACTTAATTCAAGTCGTCACTCGTTTAATTACACAATGAATGGAATAATCAGGATAACACACACATACCCGACTGTTAAATTGTATATTTTTCATGCGATATAGTTGCATAAAGATGCGTGGGTATAGTATTAAATATTTATCGATAGGGTATAATTAACGGTAAAGTCAGGCAGTCTCTCTTGATTCATTCTCCGCTTTCCGCTCACAATAATAATAATAATAAAAATAATATAAACACAATGAATTAATATATACCAGGAGATATACGCATCAAAGTTATTTTCAGGATTCGTACAAGGCCGTGTGACATTCTATTATATTATATTCTAGTTATATTATTATATTTTAGTTGTCGTCGGATCGGATGAGAAAGGAGACCTTAGTGATCCTTTGCAAAAGTCAGAGAGAGAGCGAGAAGAAAGAGAGAGAGAGAAAGAGCAGAGAGAAGAGAGAGAGAGAGAGAGAGAAGAGAAGAGAGAGAGATGAGAGAGAGAGAGCGCTAGACAGAGTGAGAGAGATAGGGGAGGGGGACAGGTGAGAGAGGAGAAGAGAGGAGGGAGGTAGAGAGAGAGGGATAGATGATATATATAATATATATATATATATATATATACTATAGAGAGTATGAGAGATATGAGAGATGAGAAATTGACAGAGAGAGAGAAGAGAGAGCGATGAGAGAAAGAGAGAGAGCGAGAGAGCGAGGGGTAATAGAAGAGAGATGAGAAAGAGATGAGGGGGAAGGATGTAGAGAGTAAGAAAATGAGAGAGAGTTAGAGTAGTAGAAGAGATATAGTAGAGACAAAGAGAGAGAGTGAGAGAGATGATGAGGAGAGTAGTAGAGAAGGAGAGTAAGATCATTTTTGAGGGGAGGAGAGAGAAGATGAGTGAGTAGAGAGAGAAATTGGAGAAAGAATGAGAGATAATATATTGGAGATTTGGGGATGGTTGTTTTATTTTATAATTAATACAATTTTTAGTAATTACCTGTTTTGGGTTTTATCATGTAGTTCAACAAGACCGGTCTGCTCTCTTTAATATGATTGATGTGATTTCAATAAATTGTTATTAATCTGAAATTATCTAATTTTGCCTTAAAAATTTATTTCATTTATAGGTTTCTGAAGGCAGTGAGTTGTGAATGAGATTCAGATTGTTTAGTGTATTTCGGGACGTAGAAAGCTGAGAGTACGGGTTGATATGAAGGAGAGTCTATTGGCTCTCTCATCTTTCAAGCAAAAGCAATTGGCCTTATATGTTGATCGCAGCAAAGTTCAATCAGCGAACCGGCGGTCGCAAAAATCACTGTTGAGTAATGATCACACAACATCATCCATGAACTCGCACAATACTGTAGATCAATATTATGATGTTTCTGGATTACATTTGACAAAGTCACGTACAGAGTTGTGTGTCTGGTATACTGTTAATGTGTACTTATGTACGTGTTATGTATAATAAAACTTAGCATAAACGCTTTGGAGCGGCTTGCATGTGACTATGTACGCGTAAACAATATAAACAGTAGAATGAACACAGAACTATTAGTTTTGTTTCAGCGTAGAGACCAAATGTTCAAGTATCTAGGGCGTCTGTCTCGAATAAAATCGTCCATCAGACCTAAATCAACAACACAGTTAGAAAGGATCGAAAAGCACAGTTAAATTATTGTTGTAAACTTTAATTATATGTGTTTATTATAAAAGTCTTTATTGCATAATTAAAATAAAAGCAGCACGGTAAATGAATGATCAGTCTTCTCGCGTGGAGAAAAAATCTAGAATATAAAATAATAAAACCACACGTCGGGTCGAATACACATTGTTCGTATAGATAAACGTGAATGAACAATAAATAGCGTTGTTTGAGTTTGCTCCACGTGTTTCATTTAGGCGGGCCGGTCAAAATCCCGCGATCCAGACCTATTAAGGATCTGTGGATATTCTTCATAGATAATTTCTAACGAATACGCGAAGTGGTATCTGGATCTGTGGCGCAGCGTTAATGCAGCAGTCTGACCTGGGCGCAGGTTTTGCGAGTGGGTCGTAGGAGCGAAGTTCGAGGAAGTGAGGAGGAGTCGAGCGATTGAGGGAGGAGGAGCCGTCGCTGCCGAGGAGGGCTTAAGGTTAGTGAGCGGTGCGAGAGGGAAGAGCGTGAGCTATTGAGCTAATGATGAGAGATGCTGGCGAGATGCCGGCAGCTTAACGCAGCTTCCCTGCAATCATCCTTGTCTTCTCAGCACAAACACAACTAGTAATATAGTTACACCATATCAGGCGCGCGTAGCGCAGCTTTGTATGGGGGGGGGGTTCGTATTTCATGTGGGCAAATTTGCTCGCAGGGGTGTGGTACAGGATTTGTACCAGGGGGGGGTCTACTCAGTAACCAGAAGTGGCGAGCACGCGAAGGGGGGGTCTAGGGGGCCCTCCAGCCA